TGTATAGTATAGTGTGGTATAGTATGGTATAATGTGCTATGGTATAGTATATTATTGTATGGTATAGAATAGTACAGTGTAATATTGTATGATTATAGTGTAGTTGTGTATAGTGCAGTACATGCTGAGGACAGGCTCCTGAGACTGTGTCTGAGCATAACCGCACTGACCCTCCGGCCCTCTTGTGCTTGCAGTGGACCGAAGCGCTACGACTGGACAGGCCGGCGCTGGGTCTATCTCCACGACGGGGTCAGCCTCCACCAGCTGCTCTCACAGGAGTTCTCCCTCATCTTCAGCAGAGACATGGACCTGTGCAGCCTGCCACACTCCTGAAACTCCAGACTCATGATGTCTCACCGTTACCTACTCCTACACCATGTTGGATGTTGACATGTTGAACCAAAGTGTCCATACAGATAAAAGGAAGGGAAGTAAATCTATTTTAATTGTATGTCAGCGTCTGTATATATATATGTATATATATGGACAATGAAATACTTTTTGGTTTTTGTGTGTGTTTGAATGTATGCTGAATGAATTAAAGAAAGACAAAAGAAATCACTGGAATAATTTTATTTCTGTTTTCAACATGAAAAGAATTGATGTTAAAAAGAGTATAGTGCCAACATGAAAACAAAAACTTTGGAATTCCAGAAACATTAACTACACAATACGCTTAAATGTAGCTGCTGCCGGTGGGGGTCAGTACTCCTGACCACGTCCCTGCCCTCAGGAAACAGACTGTAAGCTGTGCTCTACAAATATCAAATCAACACCACGGTATGTTTAGTGATCATTTCTTTTCTAATTCACAGGCCTGTCTGGGAATGCTGGAAAAATCTATACTTCCCAAATCAAAGGCCGGATTCCTTTCAAAGCCATGCCTGTGATTATGTGGGATTTGGGGTTGTGTAGCAGCAGTTAGAGGCGGGTCCTTAATACTGACCGTGCTGCAGAGAGACAGGAAGTACACGCCTTTCACCTCCCTCGTTTCTACCTCCATCTAGTCCAGGGGTCTTCGAGGTTTTCCAGGCCAAGGACCCCCAACCTGATGGAGGGGGACCCCCTAATTATATATATTGTATGAAATAGTGTTATATCAAACTGGTCTTATAGTGTGTAAATGTCCCTTGTTATTGGGCATTCAGTACTAAGATCCTCAGATAATCCACAGGCTCATGTATTCCTGTTTTTACTGTAAACATCTGGTTCTGGTTCCTGGTTGGTGGGACAGGTGTTGTGAATGAAACGGGGCCCAGCCTGAAAGAGCTCCTGTGTGTGTCTGAATGTGAGCTTTGATGACTGGAAGACATCTTCTGCCTCCATTTTTCTGTTTACTACAGTGTGCTGGATTCATGTTCATGTGGATTTAAACACATTTCCATTAGTGGAAACAATTGCAGGGGGGGATATAACAAAAAAAAAGTCTAATCAACCAAAACTTTCTTGACCCCCATGCAGTACCTCCAGGACCTCCCTGTTAAAGACCTCTGATCTATTCTGATCTGTTTTCTCTGGGTTACTTTCCCGGGTCGAGGCCTGCCTGTTCCAATACCTTTTCCAGCTCTGTAAATATTTTCCTGGTATTTTCCACCTCTGGTATTTCCCACCTCTCCGCCTCCGTTCTGGGACCACCTGATCTCCTCCCAAATGAGCCCCTAACAACGAATATCATGCACTGCCTCTAGATGGCGTAGCTGCTTATTCTACATTGTTCTTCAGCATATAAAGATGATAGTTCTGACTTTTCCGTGTGAAGTGCTTTGGATTAAAGCCTCAGCTGAATTCGTAAATAGAAATGTGAATACACTGGTATGTGGAAGCCAGCTAAAAGTTGATGACTCTGCGTGTAGTTCGGAAGCATTCATGGTCACACAAACAACGATGAGGATTAGAGAGAGGTCTGTTCCTGTCGTGAGGAATTAGCTGACAGCGTAGCTACTAGATTAGATGAATGCTTTTGTGCGTGTGGCAGAAGCTAAATAGTTCTATTTTAAATACACTTACTGTAGTAGTAGTAAGCAGTTTCCTTATTTAACCAAACGAGCCTTTTCGTTTCCTAAAACGATGAATGATGCGGGAGATGTCGGATTAGGCCAGCAAAGACGGGAACTCTCAAGTTCCTGGAAGTTTAAGATAGCGGGTAGATACCGTCCAGTACGACCCGTGGGGTCAGCACAGATGGATTCTGGGCTGTCCTCGCTGGACAGACAGTAGCTGGAGATAGAGGTCAGATGTAGAGGGCCTGCTCCTGAGCGGTCAGCAGGCGGTACATTGCGGCCGGCATGGTCTTCATATCGATCTGAACGCGTCCAAACAGAGGAGACAGCACAGCGTCAGTCATCTCCAACAGCATCGATAGTGCTGGGGCTTAGTGATCCAGAAGAAAGGAGGGACCCCCAGATAAATGCTGGTTACTGAATGTTTTAAAGTGTATCGTGCCTGTGTGTGTTCTCCCAGTTTTAGGAGAGCGGAGGTGTTGAAAACGGCCTACCGAGTTTCCATGTGTCATGAAGGGACAGGTGTGTTTTCAGAAAATCAATTCCATCTACCGGAAAAGTTAGTACAGTAGAACCTTTGCTTACGATGCCTAAACATTCGAATTTTCCAACATACGAAGTCAAATTTGATCAAATATTCGACTCAACACCTGAGGTAAATTTCCAACATATGATGTCGAAGTCATAGAAAAAAATATATATATAAAAATTTACGAAAAATAAATAAGCTAAGTTGATTTAAAGTCCACGTAGTGAAAGTCAAAGTAAGTTAGGGTACGTCCTGTATCTCAGTCTCCTCCTACACCTCCACAAAGTGCCAATAAAAAACGCTTTTTATTGATTATTTCTTTATAATTAATTTATTTTCCATCTCTCTTATATAGGTAATTTGTTTTCCTGCTATGTGTGATTATCTGCAGTATTTATTAAGGAGTTATCGTAAGTTTTTGGAACCAATTCAAGGAATCACAGTGGATTCTGATGGAAGATTGAACCAACATACCAACATTTTAACGTAGGAAGTAGGTCCTGGAACAAATTAAATTCGTATGTAGAGGTTCTGCTGTTTTGTTATTGTTCATAAAAAGGCCCACCTCTCCCACGGCGCCGGACAGGATGTGGACTATCTTCTCGTGGGGCATGGCCACCACGCTCTGGCCGTTGATCTCGATGATGCGGTGGCCTACTCGGATCCCGCCGCGCTCGGCGATGCCGCCGCGCATCAGGCTGCAGATCTGCCACAGAAGAACAGGCCGGTCAGCAGCCGCCGCCGGAACCTTCCGGAAGGCTCGGCCTCGGCGCTACCCACAATGCCATTCTGCACGCTGAAGCCCAGCTGGTAACGGGCGTCTGGCCTCCTGATGAGGACCGTCGTCACCGGGGGGCATCTCACGATGTTTAAGTTGATCTGTGGCTGGTTCTTCAGACCCTAGCAGAGAAAATAACATGTGGAACAATCAAATACATAAGACAGGTTAGTTCTCAGCTTCTGAGACGAATTTACAATAAAGAATTGGCATAAAAGCCCAGATCTTAGTTTGTAACACAATGTAAGGTTAATAAAAAGTCCTACTTTTTGAGACTTTAAAGGGGAAAGTATTTTATTGCATTTTTTTGTTAACGTGTTGGATGAAGCATTAGTAGAAAACCCTTCAGGTTGGGCTGACCGGTTGACGTTAGGTGTAACTGATTTGAACTAGGGCAGCACGGTGGTGAGGTGGTCAGCAACATGGCCTCACAGCCAGAGGGTTCTGGGTTGGAGTCCCCGGGGGAACCAGGACCAGAGGGTTCTGGGTTGAAGTCCCCGGGGGAACCAGGACCAGAGGGTTCTGGGTTGGAGTCCCCGGGGGAACCAGGACCTTTCTGGGTGGAGTCTGCATGTTCTCCTGTGTCTGTGGGTTCTCTCCGGGTTCTCCGGCTTCCTCCCACCCTCCAAAAACCTGCATGTTAGGTTGGTTGGACTCCAAACTGCCCTAAGGAGTGAGTGTTTGTTGGTTCTTGTGTGTCTCTGTGTGATGGACTGGGAATCGTCCAGGGTGACCCCGCCTCTTGCCACTGACCACTGGGATAGGCTTCAGTTCCCCCCCGCCAACCCCATAAGGAAATAAGCAGTGTACGAAAAATGGATGGCTGATTTGACCTAAATGAAGCATTGTCAAGACACCACGGTTTAGGATTTACATACCTTTATGATACTCTGACAGGTGGACAGTGGGAGTCCCACCAGACTGGTTCCGTTGATGGACATGATCTGATCTCCGATGTTCAGCTTGCCGGATCTCTCCGCCGGCCCGGCGTGCATCATGCTGGCGATGATGACGGTGGGTAGGATGGAGCCCCACCCGCTCTCCACAATCACCACTCCCAGGATCTCCCCCTTACTCTTCTCTATGAGCACCTGACCCCACAGCAGGGCATCAGCAGTTAAAGAGGAGCCAAACAAAACCTTTAGTCACTCTGAACTAGTCGTGTGGACAACAGGAACACATACGCAGGGGCCATGTGTGCTAACGGTGAAGAGGCCACAAACCGGTTCTGAATAGCTTCAAGCTGACTCACGTCTTTGCAGTTCTCAGATTTGGAGAAGTGGACCAGGTCATCGTTGTACATGTCCCGAGTGCTGAGCAGGTCGTTGTATTCCCTCTCACTCAGATCCTCGGGGTTGATGCCATTGGCCCGCAGGAACTCCTGGTAAGCCACGCTGAAGGACTGCCCAATGGACTGGGCAATCAGCTGGGCCTAGAAGATAGAACCCGAGACCTCTACGAACCTGGAACGGATTGGACAGGCTCCTCCCAAACCCACCCCGGCTGCGAACCGTCACACTCACGTCCTCGGACTCGAACACGTGGCATATCATCTTGTACTGGCACTTGCTCTCTTGACTGGGGTCTGATGCTTCCACGTTCTCCTGAGAGTCCTGCTGAGTCAGCCTTCGGCGGGCCATCAGAACCATGGTGTTGCCGATGTCAGCGATGTAGGAGATGGTTTGCAGCGGGTGGTCCATCATGATCTCCTTCAATCATAAAACCACAAACAGCACCTTTGTTATTCACGACCGGAAAAGCCTCCCACTCCGGAACTCCGGTTTCGTTTTGGTTTTGGAGCTGGAACTTGATCATTAGCACCAGGTCACTTTAATCCAAAGTGTTGGAGCCGTTTTGCATCTCTTTTGTTTTTCTGAATTTATTATGAACATATTTGCATTCTAATTCCACTGATTTAATTTTGAATCTTTAGTTGGAAACATGTCTATGTTTTCATGCTGATATGCTTATTTGCTGCTCTTCCTGTATGGTGGGCGTGGCGTTGACAAGCTGATTGATTGATTAATATATAGGTGACGTCACCTGCCGGCCAGGTAGAGCGGAAGTGGCAATAAAGTTTTTCAACCGCGTGATGCGGGAGCGCTTTTGTTTGTGTTTGTATGCAAGTTAAAGACAAATAAATGCCTCTATTTTTCTAAGACGCGCGTTGGGATCTGATCTACATTAAGTTGAAAAACTTTGTCCCGAAGTGTGGGATATTGCCTGTTTGAGGATGAACGTTTCCAGTGTGGATTACTTGAAGACTTGTGGATTATTCAAGACGTGTGTGGAATGAACGTGACCTGGAAATCAGCTCACCTGTTCTGTGAGTAACCTGGAGGCTTATTGTTCTACGACCCAGGTGAGCAAACATTTGGACAGACTGGAATATTTTGGATGGACAGTAACGTTAACAGCGTAATCTAACGTTACTGTGGCTGAACTGAACACCGGCGGGTTTATTGGAAGCAGACACTTTTAATGTCGTTGGAAGATGTTAATACGGTCAAATAAACTGTGTTTTTGGACCTTATTTGAATCGCTGACTGAACTAAACAGAACTCAGTTTAAGCGCGTGGATGCGTGCGTAAAACTAAATGACTGCGCGTAATAAACGGCACTGAACTGTTGAATACTGACGTTGTTTTTGGTAAGACATAATACGAATTTAAACGAAAGACTTAAAATAAACTGAGATGATGTCTGATGATGGGCAATGCACGCGCAAAATGAATGAAATCAAATCTATAATGTGTGAGAATGTTGATGTGGAAACAGAAGTGGCTGCGTTCGACACAATCTTGAATGGTTTTAAGTTCTGTCAAGAGTCTGCTCAAGCTTTGTTGTCTGATGATGTGAAGGAGAGGGAAAATCCTGATTGGAGTGAACCTAGAATGGCTAGATATAATGAATTCCTTGCTAATGTTGATGAATGGTTAAAACAACAAAACCTAGACCCACAGACACTAGTTGATGTGACTGACAGTGCGTCCAGGTTATCTAAGACTGCATCAAAGACTTCAAAAATATCCTCCAGTCTCATATATTCGTGTTCACATAGCAGTCGAAAAAGCTGGTTTATTGGCTAAAGCAAAAGTTTTAAAGTAGAAGCACCAAATAGAGCTGGAAAAAGTGAAGTTACAAGCAAGAAAGGAATCCACTCCTGGAAGGGACCGGTCTGAACATTCAGATATTTCAATTCAAAGACAGTCAGACTTGACAAAGCTGCTTGTTTCTGTTGTATCTCAAAAATCACCCCCTAAAAAAAGAAGTTCCTGTTTTCAGTGGTGACCCTTTAGAGGTCCAGCTCTTCATGCAGGCATTCAAACACATTATAGAGGACAAGACTGACAGTAACGAGGACTGACTGTATTTCCTTGAACAGTTTACAGCGGGCCAACCAAAAGAACTTTGTTACATCTGGATGCTACAGCCTGTTTTATTGAAGCAAAGCGTTTGCTGAAACTTCATTTTGGAAATGAGTTTAAAATCGCATCAGCTTATATGAATAAGGCCTTGACCTGGGCTACCATTAGATCAGATGATGCTAAAGCACTGCGTAGTTATGGAGTGTATTTTAGAAGTTGCAACAATGCTGCTCAATCTTTTCAGTATATGTCAGAACTTGATTTACCATCAAACATTAAATGAATGGTGTCAAAACTTGCGTACAAGCTCGGAGAAAGATGGAGATCTGTTGTATGTGACATCATGGAGCAAACACAGCAGAGACCCACATTCTGTGATTTTGTTAAGTTCATCGAAAAGCAGGTAAAGATATTGCAAGAGCCTGTGTTTGGTGACATTCAAGAATGATGCATTTCTTAAACCGTGCACCTACTGTAAAGGAGATCATGCTTTGGAAACTTGTCAGAAAATAACGAAGATCCTTCATCAACAGAAAGTTGATTTTCTGAAGAAAAATAGTTTAGTTTTTTTCCATTTTCCTGGATCTTCAGACCCAATGACATGATTTCTGGAGGAAATGAGTTTCCTCCAGAAATATCTCCGTACAGGATATCCAAATGAATCCCATAATCAGACATGTGCTATACAGTTTCCTGGTGACTCATTATCTGCTTTAGACTGTCTTAAATAGAGTACTTGATGTGACTTTAGAGAAAGCGGGGATAAGGAACAGTGCACATAGGAGAAGAGGACACTGAGAGAACATGGTGAGTGTCTAAACACCTGATTCCTAATTCACCAAAGGAATGATTGAACACACATGAATACGGATTGGGGGCTGTGCTGGGCTAAAACCCTAGTTGTCCACTATGTCTTTCATCACATAATGTAAAAGCATAGAATGAAATGAGAGACACATCAGGCTTGTTTTTGATGTGTGTAGTGGATTTGGGGTTCTTAAGGCTGTAAGTGGCCGTAACCCTAACCCAACCTCCGGTTACACAGCGCTGTGTGATCGGGTGTGTGAGCTGGTGTGTGATCGGGTGTGTGATCCAGTGTGTGTGAGCTGGTGTGTGATCCGTTGTGTGATCGGGTGTGTGATCGGGTGTGTGATCGGGTGTGTGAGCTGGTGTGTAATCCGGTGTGTAATCCGGTGTGTGATCCGGTGTGTGATCCGGTGTGTGATCCGGTGTGTGATCCGGTGTGTGAGCTGGTGTGTCATCCGGTGTGTCATCCGGTGTGTCATCCGGTGTGTGAGCTGGTGTGTGAGCTGGTGTGTGAGCTGGTGTGTGAGCTGGTGTGTGATCGGGTGTGTGATCGGGTGTGTGATCGGGTGTGTGATCGGGTGTGTGAGCTGGTGTGTGAGCTGGTGTGTGATCGGGT